AACCTCCTGCCAAGTAAGATTACACTTCAAATATAAAGTCATGTTAAGGTTAATTTCTCATTTTAGCATAATTTACTGAATGAGTTCAAGGACAAAGCAATGGCTTTAGATAAGAAAACAAGATGCCAACTAAATGTGAAAATTACATAGATACATAGAATGTGACGGCAGATAAGAACCATTCGGCCCATGTAGTCTGCCCAATTGTTTTAATTACTTTCATTAGTCCCTGGTATTATCTTCTATCTAGGATAGCCTTATGCCTATCCCACGCATGCTTAAACTCCTTTACTGTGTTAACCTCTACCACTTCAGCTGGAATGTCATTCCATGCGTCCACTACCCTCTCAGTAAAGTAATACTTCCTGATATTATTCTTAAACCATTGCCCCTCTAATTTCAGACTATGTCCTCTTGCTGTGGTAGTTTTTCTTCTTTTAAATATAGTCTCCTCCTTTATGGTGTTGATTGCTGTAAAATCCTCCAATATACAGTTAGGTCAGGCCATTCTATATTAAAAGGGACTGGTTTTCCCAAGTGCAAATATACAGATCACACTCAAAAGCCAGCCAGCCATTATATCCAGATAACAAGGTATTAATCCTGTACTGACTCACAATATATCGAGTATGAATGTTCCCAAGATTTACATTTTGTAAAATTAGGAATATAAAACAAAATGTTGTGCAAAGATACACATGAGACCATTCAATTATCTCAGTGAAGTGATCATTGAGATGATTGTCATACTGACAGCCACTAGATATGCTTCTGCGGCAGTGACAGAGTAAAACTCTGCCACGTGATCCGTAGGCCCTCGATAGGAAAGCATTAAGTCAGTACTTTCTTATTGGGATGATTGGATGCCCACACGATGCTCGCCACATACACACATCGGGCCCACAATGCTCCTCTACGAGAAGTATTGGATTGGAATATTTTAGAAGTGGTCATGACTGCTCCAGGATGTTGCAGCGGTAGAAGTTGGCAGTGCTGAGGGAGCCTTGACCTGAACTTATTGGAAAAGGGAAACTAAAGCTTTAGAAATACAAACTTGTATTAGTGACACCATTTTTAGTGTTTCTTTAACCCACTGCATACAGGAGGAAAACCAAAATTTGCTGTTAAATCCTCTGACACCTCAAAGGATCAATAGAGTTAGCAAATACTGTCCTTGGTGCATGACTTATTGATGGGTTGAAGATCAAAAGTGTTTTCTTGAATTTTGTATAATACAAATGCTGCAAATGGAAAATAAATTAATTATTCCCAACGCTTTAGTGTCCCTGTTTATATAGGTCCCCCATTGTGTCACATAAAATTAAAGTTTTAGTTTTTTGACTTACCTTTCTCCATTTGAGGCTCCCTTGGTGCAGCTTACCTCTCCTGCGACATCATGAAGGAGACAACATCGCATAGGAAATTAAATCAATACTTTACTACGGGGGCTCCCGTGCCACGTTACCAGTTTTACTTGATAATTACAAACATTGCAGGGTTAAAAAGAGCAGGACCACTTCATTGGTCCTTTAAAACTGATATTTGTTTTAACCCCTTAAGGACCAAACTTCTGGAATAAAAGGGAATCATGACATGTCACACATGTCATGTGTCCTTAAGGGGTTAAAGAGAAAACGCCATAAAAAAAATGGGAGTGAAGAAAACAGCTTGCATTAAGATGCACACCTGCTGCTTCTGTAAGCCCTCGTCTCTCTCCCAGGTAAAGACTTTCTGTCTGTACAAGAAAATACCCCAATCAATGGCTTCTCAATGAGAAGGCTCTGTGCAGGAGCTTGCAATTTCCTATGCTTCTTAAATAAATGTAGTACAGCTCTCTGAGAAGGAGGGAAGGCAATGCAGGCATGCTCTAGCCCAGGGATAGGCAACCTTTGTCACTCCAGATGCTTGGACTACATCCCCCATAATGCTCTTACACTCAAAATGCTGGCAAAGCATCATGGGAGGTGTAGTCCAAGCATCTGGAGTGACAAAGGTTGCCTATGCCTGCTCTAGCCCATTGAGCCTGCCACTTCCTTTAGCTCTGAGCAGCTAACAAATGCAGAAGTAACCTTTCCTGGCTATCTGAGCGATGGGGATGTGTGCCTGCTACATTTTTATAAATTGTCACAAATATTACAGACTCCAGACACAAAGGTCTGCAGCAGCAAGGGAAAATAAATAAATGCCTAAAACACTAGTTACCTCTTTAACCAGCGGCAAGTCCTCTCTCGCTGTTGTTCTGTACTTGGGAGACTGTCAGTGACAGCAGTCTCCCCTTACTGTCAAGAGAAAATTGGCCGTTGCGCAATGATAGTTTGAGTGTAGTGAAACAGGAACCTCTCCAGGCTACAGGGGGCTCCCACATTCATAAAAGTGCCAATGTCTCTTACAATCAGCACTTTTTGTAAATTGATACAAGGGGGGCATACAATTAACCCCTAAAGAACTTCAGCAAGCTGAAGAGGAATTGTGAATGTATACAAAATGTCACCACTTTTGTATGCAAAACGGGTATTCCACTTTAAACATTTGGGACTTTTTGCCACATTTTCTGTAATGTTAAATATAATCAGTCTGCCATAAAAATAAAAAAAAATTTTTTATATATATCAGATCTTTTTGTTCCATATGCATTTGAAAGATGTTTTTATTCCTCAAAAAAAAAAAAAAAAAAAAAGATGCACTTTTGCACCTCTTTTATTCATTGGGAGCGGCACATTTGTGAACCAGAGAAGCAATGAGGAATATTTTGGCACAATAAATAGGAGCAAATAGGAGCAGTTCTATGAAAATAGCTAAAAACAGTGAATGCAACCTTTTTAATCCATTTAAACGAATGGAGCATTTAAAAATTAACACTACATATAAAAAAAGTGCTCCTTTAATTACGTGACATTGGTGTTGCACTATAATGAACGCACTATATGTAAATACTGTTTACAAACACACTGTGCACTTTTTTGTTTAAAGGGACACTATAGTCACCCAGACCACTTCAGCTCAATGCCAGGTCCCTCAGGTTTTAACCCTTTAGATGTAAACATAGCAGTTTCAGAGAAACTGCTATGTTTACATTAGGGGTTAAGCCAACTTCTAGTGGCTGTCTTCCAGACAGCCGCTAGAGGGGCATCTGCGACGCTGGATGCAAAATTCGCATCCATCGTTCAGAGCGTCTATAGGAAAGCATTGAGAAGTGTTTTCCTATGGACTGTTTGAATACCCGTGCGGCACTTGCCGCGCATGCGCATTCCGCTCCACCAGGGAGCCGACGTCGGCGGGGGAGGAAAGGTCACCAGCGCAGAGGGAGTCCAGCGCTGGATTAAAGTAACTGAAGGGTTTTAACCCATTCAGCACCACGGGAGTGGACCCTGACGGTGAGGGTCCCCTGAGGATTATATAGTGTCAGGAAAACGGCTTTGTTTTCCTGACACTATAGTGATCCTTTATTAGTGTTGATTTAAAGCGCTCATTTAAATTGATTTTGCTTGCGAACTGGTGGAGGAAGGATATACAGAGAGTGCTGGAAGCAGCTGATATATTATAGATTTGTGTATTCAATCACAAAAACGATATGAACCATTTTTGCACATTAAACGTATT